TCAAATTAATTAACCCAAGTCTTTGTCCATAGGAAAAAAACCCTCTAATGTCAATACTGCTGCTTACTAGTCCTTGACCATACTCTGTCGCCCCAAACCTTCAGCTGAGACACAGGGACATCACTGACTGATGACCCTAATAAGGCCCCACCTATTAAGCCACCACTATTTGTTAATAAACCTTCTCAAAGTAACATATCCTTTGATAATATGACTTCAGTGAATTAACAGCTCTCCAAAATCTAACACTAGTTTAAATAGATATGAGCCTGAAAATACCAGTGTGGATCATTCACATTCCTACCTTTTAGATACCCTTTTGAATTATGGTGTTGAAACACTAGACAAATGCTGTAGGATTTCATTAAGCCATTTAATAAATGGCCCTCATTAAAATGCCAGTTTCCTTGTCCTTGTCTATAAGGACTCCAACTCATACGAATGCCCACTTATACATTTCTATATCATCTCTTTAGAGGATTCAGAACTATTTTCTTACACCTAACACAGCTTTTATTCCATTTAGAATAATTACCCTCCATCCCATTTCTGACTTTCGAGAAAAACAAGACACTTAATTGACCACAGGAGGACTCTCTCAAGGGCATCAGGCTGCAAAAGCTCTTCTGTGAGCTCACAACTTAAGCTGATGTAATCTGCTACAAGAAGCTGACTTCTATTTTTAAATTATACCCTTTTACTCTGCCTTCAAAGGGCACATATATCACACGTGGTAACTGCTCATAAAACACTTCACGGTGTAGTCTCCCGTCCATTTCCCTCCCGGGGTGAGTCACACTGTCAGGAGGGCCTTCCAGCTGCACATAGTCACCCAGGTCCGCCCATTTAAATTCGTCCACCATTTCCTATTATTTGGTCTTTGGGAGAATAGCTACATATGGCCACACTCTCCAGGTGTCTTGTTTATCACAGTAATTTTGACAAGGAACAGATGACTAGCAGGGTCCTTCCTGAGGACTGGGATCAAGCTTTTTCACGTCTTTGTATTTCCATCCCCAAATATAGACACTTAATAAATCCTTATTAATGTTGCTGCTGAGAGCTCTGTCATCTGGCCTATGTGCTTCAAAGGGTGCCAGAATGGAAACAGATTATTTGCTTTTTTAAAAAAATTTTGTATTCATCATTTCAGTCAAGCTCACTGTGTGTTATTTAAAAAGTTTCTAACATTTGAGAAACACTATGAAAAAAGTCTTGGTTGGAGGTGAAAGTACACTTGATCTTGCTATCTATCTATCTATCTATCTATCTATCTATCCATCCATCCATCCATCCATCCATCCATCCATCCATCCATCCATCCATCCTTATTCTGCTCATTTCTAAAAAGAACGAAGAGTTCTGTAATGAAAGTGGTACTATTACGGAGTCTGGGACAGAATAGTATATTTCTTTGGTCTACTGCTCTCTTCATTCCACGAGCAACCCATGTCTTGTCTGGGTTCATACGAAAGCCTTTTGGCAGCTCTTTCAGACTCAAGGCTTGGGTCCTTCCAATCCCTTCTCCACATAAAAATCCGAGTGAGCTAGTGAGACTACAAATTCAACCATGCTCCTCCCCTTCTCAACACCCTTCTATTCCCCTTCTCAACACCCTTCTATGCCCCGTCAGCCCTCTGAAAGACGTCCCTTCTGGTTTGGCTCTGCTTACCTTTATAGTCTCCATCGTCTGGGCACCACCATCCCATTCCCACACCCACTATGCCTTCTGGTTGTAAGGATCTGGTTGTAAGGATCTTTCAGGTCCTTAGAAGTGCGTCAGCCCTCTGAAAGACATCCCTTCCGGTTTGGCTCTGCTTACCTTTATAGCCTCCATCGTCTGGGCACCACCGTCCCATTACCACACCCATTATGCCTTCTGTGTTCTGGTTGTAAGGATCTTTCAGGTCCTTAGAAGTGCCCTGTTGCTTTCATCTAAAGGTCTGTGTCTAAGTTGCTTCCTCAGCCTAGAACTCTACTCTGCCATCCCTATTCCCTCCACCAGCTCCTTCCCACCCATCCTTCAACTCTTGTTTAAATGCCACTTCCTCTGGGCAGCCCCTCCTTGGTGTGGCAGCACGTGCTACTGTGACAACGGTTCATCATACTGCATCGTGCTTATTGGCACTATCCCCAAGTGACTACATATGACAGAGGGCAGTGATCATGTCTGTTTATTCACTACTATATCCTTCCACACATGGCTCAGCACACAGTGGGGCTTCAATATCATTGGCTGGGTGAATGAATAAATGAATTAAAAATACTGAAGACTGCAATCAGGGAGATCACATTTGTAAGGTATAAATTAGAATTTTGTCTCCTCAGAAAGTGTGAACTTGAAGAATAGAATTTATAGCAAATTACTACTTTAGTTCAGAATTCATCAGCTGAAATGTGGTGGTGGCAGAAGGAGACTCTGAGGAAACAGAAACTTCCCCTCCCACAGTGACTTCTAAGAGCCACCTGCAGCTGGACCGCTCACCAGAGGTCTCAGAAACTTTCCTGAGAGGTCAATGGAGAGCTGTTTAAAATGGAATCCTAACTGGGACAAAACGAAAAAGTTTTCTCAAAGTTCAATTTCAAACTATGAACTCCAAGTGAACAGACTACTCCACAATTTAAATTTATTCCAAAGAAGGGCAGCAAGCCGCAAATTAGTAACACTACTTCTTACCTGCAAAATCACATGTGTCAGTTTCCAAATATCATAAGGTCAGGTGCATGTGGTGAAAATGCTCTATCAGTTAGATAAAAATGCTCTTGGCACTTCAGACTTAGTGACTGGGATCTGGCCATCGATATGAGTGCTAACTTGGGGACAAGCACTGGTCTGGCCCTTGGGTTATGGCAGTAAAGAGAACCAGTCCAGGCTTTGTCCTCACAGAGAGTCCAGCCTCATCAAATATATATTTGTATTTGACCTCTTAAAGAAAAAATTCTTTCCAAAAAAAAAATGTTCTGCTATTAAATTAAATCCAGCACACATGAGACTGTGGAGTAAAGCACTGCTTCAGCTACTTCTGCATAGCAAGGAATTTTTTTTAAACCATATTTTCCAAAATCAACAGATTGATGATACTAAAGAGTGGGTAACATTTCAACATTCAAACCAAATGACGAAGGGCTTGGTTTTTATTTCATCCTTACACAGCTAGCAACCACACTGTAAAGCAAAACCAAATAAAAACAATTCCACGTGAAATTCCCACCTTTCAGAAATCGGATGTTTACTTTTATTATCTGGCACATGGAAGGTGCTCAATAAATGTTGAATGCATAAATCACAGGAGAGGCATTACTATGAAAATGCCCTTTTCGATTTTAGGTATGTTCTTCAACTTCCTTTTTTTCTCTTAGGAAAAAAATTATGTACAGGATAAAAATTATGCTAGTTTTCTGACTTTCATTTCCCTGTCTGACCTTGGGCCTATCACTTAATATAGGTATATTTTCTTCACCTATAAAATAAAATCTATGTCTTGGTTATTACAAGTCTCAAAGGATATCATTGATATAAAGTGACAGGCACTACACCCTGCAGATAATGTTGGTGTTTTTTTTTTTCCTTTTTCTTTTTTTAACCTCTCCACACCATCCCCCATCCTCCTCTAATCCCCAAATAAAGTGTCAAAGACAAACCAAATTACTGGTCTGATAAGAAAGTCAGGAAATTTCAAACGTAGCCTGGGCTCACCAACATCTAGTTTAATTTACTATTTTGGGGTCTTGATTTTCTCTTTTATAGAATGAGTGAGTTTCACTAGCTCATCTTTAAAGGACTCTTCAGTTCTGTTTTTCCATGAGCTCAGAAGACTGCCTTACTAAGAAGTTAGATGCTGCTAACACATTAAGGTCATCTATTATCAGAACTAAAACAGACTCTGATTTCCTTCATAGGCAGGGATTCTAAATTACAAACCAGAATAAAACTTGACTTTCAAAAGAATTTGTAACAATCTAATACTGAGGTTAAGAATTGGTGACACTATTTTTAAGCAACAGAAGTTCCCTCCTTTCCCCATCCCACACATCCAACACAACCCACATGGCCAACCTCCTGTGTACCACTGGGCTTCCCATTCACAGCTCCACAATGATGTACAGGGAATCTAGGGATTTTAAGCAATATTGATGGGTCATTTTAAATGAGTAATAAGACAGTTGACACAATATTATGTCAAACCTAACATTTGGCTGATTTTTTTTTTCTTTCACACCCTGAAATGTATCCAAGCCGACCAAAGAACTACCAAGATAGTATATACACAACAACAACAACAACAACAACAACAACAACAAAAACCTCTGCATTTTCATACTCAATGTATCCCTGCCACCTAGTGGTAAGATGTATCCTTGTATGACTATATCTCTAAAGAGCTAAACTGACAAAAGATAATTAAAACCAAGGGAACATTGTTCCTCTGCTGCTCACCAGTTATTTCAGGGAAATTCAGGAGCATGCCCATCTCCTCAGATATGTATTTTCCTCAGACAAATTTCTGAAGTAGTCTATTATAGATGGAGTCAATGCCACATTATTTAATCCTACAATTAATCCCACTGCTTCTGAACCATTTCACAAAACAAAGGAGCATTATTATTCTATTAATTTTAATACTCATTAGCAATTAAAAAAAATTTCCCCAATAGTCTGTTCTCACCTTCCAGTTTTATTTGATCTAATCGTGATTTTTAGTTATGCATGAAAAGCATTTAAAAGTGACAACCTTATAAAAAGTGCACATTATGTGAAAATCTGACTTCAATTAGAACAAGTTACTAAGTCCCAGCAATTTCCAGCTGTCTCTTTGCTCTTATCCCTAGAGAATTATATATCACAGTAATTGGTATTCTGTCACATAAAAAGACACCGGCAATGATTAATTGCATCCTTGGTGCTTTTGAGTCATGTTTTCTTCACTAGAGGGATTCAAATCACACCTCATTACCTTCCAGCAGGTACCCCTTTTGGTAACCCTCATAAAATCTCCTACCTTCCTGAACTTCTCCATTTGCTTGTAGAGGTCTGGATCAAGCTCCTGTGACACGTCCTTCATCCATAGTAATGCCCCTCTGTATTCAGTCCGGCACTGCTCCATGCGGTTCACCGTCAGCCAAGTGTCTGAGATGGCCCGATGTCGAAAAGTCTCCACTTCTTGGTGAAATCGACACAAAGGATTTCGCAAGGCCAACCTAAACCAGAGGATAAAACCACGACCTTGAAACTAAGTGGCCCAGCCATTTGAATCCTTGACAGTTTGCCAATATTAAACTCATGAGCCTAGCACCATGCCTGGAACTTAGACGATGCTGCAGAAATGTTTGCTCAATTATAACTGAAATATATGTGAGCTGATGAGTCAACCAGAGATGATTACCCATGTGCTGATCTCTTAGATTACTGTTACTTCACTGTACTATTGGAAAGTACTTCCGTCACTATTGTTGGGGGTGGCATTGTGCCTGGGCAAAGAGTACTTGTTTGAAGCTAGAACCAGTCCTGTGTTAATGGAGGAAGATCAAGGTATTACCATTTGCCATTTCTACTCTTCCACTCCCTGCCGTCTGCTCCTCTGAACCCTGGCCCTTTGAGGAGGGATGGACCTGTGCATGATTAGGGTCTCCCTGGCTGGGCCATTTTGGATTTCTCTCCAAAGGCCTGGGCATTTGCTGCTTACTCCAATAGTCAGAGAATGATGCACGAATAGAAGCATTTTTAAATGGTCTAGGAATGAGGGAGAAGAAGTGCATGTACTGAATGCATGTTTACCATGTAGGCACTTTCAGATAGGCGATGTGATTTGATCCTTACAAAAAAACAAAACTTAAGGATACTGCGTCAGAAATGAAAATGAATTCATGAATATATCATGAATTGGGTATAAAATAATTATAATATTGGCCATAACATACCATCATTTATTCATCAAAAAATAATGTTCGATGTATATCAAACTTTAGATAAAATATCTATTTTGGGGAAGAGGGGGAAATACTGCTTCTTCCACCCTCCTAGGCAATGCGGGAAATGTCAGATGAATTACACTTGTAAAATACAGCTGTTTCCATGAAGTTGCGGAGAAAAGGTTCAAGAAACAAAAATGAGATGACTATTTACATTTCGATTTAAATGTAAACTTATCCAGGTGAAGGGAACAACGGTGTTAGTGAGATGAAGTCAGCTCTTGGAAGTTCCATCAATGTGTGCAATGCCTTACCTGTGTATAGCACTGTAAGATTATAGATAAACTTTTAAGAAAAAAACATCTTTTACTATTTTCTTTAGTTTTCCTTTCATCTGTAAAGTACTATTTTTAAATACTCAGCAGTTCTCTAAAAACAGCTTGCTCACATCATCCTACCTAGGTGTTGCAGGATGTTTTCAAAGACATATTGTTGTGCCATAAAGTAAGCCTGTGCTTTATCGCCACTGGATTAAATTTACTACTCACCATTCATCAGATTGAATGAGCAGTTGTAGCAATGACTAGCAAAGAAGTCAGTAAAACAAATGCTGGTGTGAAGGTTTATAAAATTGAAGACTTCTATTTAAAGGGAGAAATAGTCCTCAGCTGTCCCCCAAAGAATCCCGTTTATTTCTGGACCCCTTTTTTCTTCCCTTGGATTTGCCACTTTTCCTAAACTGTCTGAAAAAGAGTCTTGTGAATAAAATAGTTCTGATTTCTTTGACTGTTTTAAAGTTGGACAGAAACCTTTGAAAATGTAATGACATGATGATAGACATTAAGATCTTGAAGAAAAGAAAAAAACATAAAATCATCTCACTTTTCCCCCTGTAACTTGCTTCATGTAATATCAGAAAGGTGAAAACCTTCATTTGTAGTATAAGGGACTGAGTCTAGACCAAGGAAATACTCAACCACAGGAACCATCAAGCTTCAGTGACAGACTGGCCTGTTTCCATTCATGAAAATCTACCCAATGGGAATAATTATAAAGTGCATAATTCCAAAGGCATTTATCTTTTAAGGAAAAGGTGGAAGCAACCAAAATAGTGGACAGGAGAGCTTGGGATAAATGTATCATAACAAGCCCAGATAACGGAATACTATGTTGTAGATGTTTTTTTAAAAAAACACATACATAGACATAAAAAGGTGTTGGTGTTGTCTGATCAGAAAAATCAATTTGCTAATACTATATAAAATACCATATAAAAATTGTATGATATGATGCTGTTTATATTAAAAATATATTTTGGCATATTCCAAATTATGTCCATTCAAGGTCTGAGAATTTAACCTCATAGGAGTTCTACGTAATCCTCCTACTTATTCTTCATGTTTAGAAGGACTGGTTTGGATTTATGTGCCTGGTGAGCAGCTGAGTGCCATGAAACCAGAGCCATCTGTAGGAGGCCACCTTCCAAACTGCAAAGTTGTCCAAGCTGCATTAAATGATGGATACAGGGCAGTTTGCTAGTTTATAGTAGTGATACTTTCAAGTATTGTTTGCATTGTTTTTGTTGATTTTGATTTCTTTTACTGTTTTTGTCTGTATCCAAAGGTTAGATGTGATAAACTTAAGGTACCATATGTGTGCTCTATGAGGTAATTGGTACACAAGTATGAAAGGGTATCACAGGATAGTCACAGTATAAAATAATTATGTGATCAGTAACTCTTGAGTGATTATGTCCAGGAATTTGGCTTTTTCCTCATAAATGAATGTTAATGTTGGCATACAGGTCTGCATAAGATTTTTCCCACTGAAATAAGTGATAATTATATGTTTAACATTTGAGAATTTATGAATTTATGAAAAATTTTTCAAGAATCAATTATTCTCATAAAGCTGAGGAAAGTGTATATGCATAGAAACATCAAGGGGTTAAAAGTGGATCTCTATTAGTAAAATTTTAGGTGTTTTTTAATTTTCTCCTTATGGTTTGTCTCTGTTTTTAAATTTTTCTGGAATGAGTGTGAATTATTTTTATCAAGAAAAACAATTATAAGATTAAATAGTACAATTCAAGATTATAAAGAAAAACTTCTCTTGGAAAATGGGTAGAGAACTATTAGAAATGGTTTCATACAACTAGGAATGTTGGCCTTAACCACAAGGTCAATGTCAAAATGCCATTAGGAAGAACCAAAGTGCCCAGGAATGGGACCACTGAAAAATGGACCTGGTTGGTCTCTTTTTTACCCCACCTTTCTTGAGTTTTCACTTGTATAACAGGCTGATGTCCTGCTCTTGGACCACAGGGAGAAAGCAGTGAGAAGAAATTAACAGAAGAAAATGTTGGACAATCAAAATAAAATTTTTATAGCCTGAATACTTTTGGAAACTTCCTATAAGCCTTATTTAGGTATAATTCTGCCTAATATGAGTGACATTTTTGGAGGCTTGTTAGTTACTGGGGAAGGAGGAGGAGAGAAGAAGTGTCAATTTCTCAGATACAAAGTACAACTGTATGCAGGGCTCCTGCTTATTCTATACGGACCATAAAAATGAGTCATGGGAGTGTTAAAAAAAAAAAAGTCGTTCTTTTACCGCAATTTCCTCTGCATCAGAGCTTCTCAAACTTGAATATGCATCAAAATCAGCTGGAGAGCTCATTAAAATGTAGATGAGGATTCAGCAGTTCTGAGGGTGGGGCCTAGATTCTGCATTTCTAACATGCTCCCCAGTGAGGCTGCTGTCCAGGGTCTGAGCAGAATGGTTCCGGGGGTCCTGAACAACACCTCCCTCAAGTTAATTGGTCCACTGAGAGCAGAGAAGGGGTATTTCCACCTGATCTCATTAGGCTCCTCCTTTAATCAGCTGCTGAAAGGGACCAGACTGATTGCTATGAGCAATGCCAAGGTTGAAAAGAAGCCTAGGACAGGAATCAGTGATTGGCGTATAAAATGCCCCCTATAGACCAGAAAAATATGAAAAAAAAATTTTGAAATATTTAATAGGGAGGAAAAAAACATACCTCTTATCTTAATCAGAAAGTAAATGCAAACACTAACAATTGACAACAGTGTAGCTTCTTGGTCTCAGGCAAGAGCCTTCTAAAGAGCACTGGATGATTCCCCTTCATGAGTGAGTGGGTCCCAGATGCTCAGAAGATCCCCCAAATAGAGCCCCAAGGAAGGCCACACACCTTTGCTGGGAAGAAAAGCAGAGGGCCTTTCCTGTCGCTTGCATCATTTTTCCTGCTCTGGTTTTATCTTGGAAGCCTTGGGATCGGAGAAATTTTCCCAGTTCGTTCTCTTCTTGAGACAAGACTGGTGAAGAAAAGACCAAAAGGAGATGCGAACAATGAGCATTTTTATTACAGAGAGAAAGAGATAAATCACAAAGTCCTCTCTCTTCTAAAGTCAAAGACGAGATGAAATTAAACCCAAGTGACAGGCTCCAAGGTAGGCTCCCCACCCCCTCCATTTAACTTTCATGCTGTTCTTCCATTTACAAAACGAAGGATCAAATTCACTTGAGTACATCTGTCAGTACGTTTGGTGCCCTGTAATCAGAACCAGAAAATGACCTCTGTACTGAAAAGTGAGCTGATAATGTGCTGCTTCTTTGAGCTGAAATAAAAAAGTTGAGTTTGTCAAGTATGACTGTGGGAATCTTTTGTAGCGGCTGCCTGTAACATAGGGCCAGTGTCCTCCTGTTATTCTCTCCTGCTGACTTTTTGATCTCTGCTTTCTGAGTTACATTCTACTTGATTGTAAAGCAATTCAAAGGCCTTATCTATGACTTTGGTTTTTGGGTGGAGGTGGGGGTGGGGAGGGTGAAGATGTATAGGTAATCAGATTGATGACTTGGATTTTTAAAATACAGAGCTGGAACCAAATCTGACTGAACTGGTTATGCCTAATCTGGGCCTTATTTTTTAAACTGATGTATAATTGACATATAACATTATATTAGTTTCACGTAGACAACATAATGATTCAATATTTGTATATATTGGGCCTTACTTTTAAAGACAACCTCAGACGGCACTATTGGTGAGACAGGGACTGGTACAAGCTTTCAATAAATTGATTTGGCAGTAAATATAAAAAGTCATTGAATTGTGTCTGTATTTCTGTTAGGAGTGCATCCTAATGAAGTAGAAAAATGGGCACAAAGATGTATATACAAAGATAATTATAGCATCATTATTTATAATAGCCAATGCTAAGTGGAGAATGACTTAATCCATCACAGTGTACCACACAATGAAAAGCCACTGGTCCTGAACACATATTCACCAACAGCCATGCAAGGAGTGACACCGAGCTTCCTAGAATGTTTTTTTTTTCTCTAAACACAAGCATTTACTATGAACATACTTTGAACACTACTCTTACTTCACATTTCTGTACTGATGCATTTACACATCATTTGTCTCTAAAAATGCTTTTTAACTACTACTAGGATTCTTGTCTGTTTTCATGAACAATCCAGACTTGAGAATGCACCCCATTCCTGACACAACCTCTCCAATAATAGTTGTAGAATGTTAGCCAGGAACCACAAATACAAAGGTGAAGGTTAAACTCTCTATTGATTCCTTATTAATTTATGGCTCTGGTACATTCTAGAGAAGAGGCTTTTAGAATCCACTCTTCCTGAGAGATGAATGACTACCCTTCTTCCTCTTCCATCTCTCAAAATTAAGTTAATTGGTCAAAGTCCAGCTCCAAGGCTATTTCCTCTGTGAAGCAGTTGATCCCCATTTCTCTACAACAGCCACGCCCCCTCAGCGTCTGGTATTAGAGCATTTGTGGGTGGGCATGTGTCTATTTCTCATGAGACTCTCAGCTTTCTCACAACTATGCAAACTATGGATTCCCCAGGTAAGTGCTTGTGAAATTGATATAACTATAATTTCTGCCTTGTTATCCCTGTCCACTCTATTTTACTTTAAATGCTCATTTGATTTTCATGCCATGTAGCTTTAAAAAAATTCCTAGAATTATAAGCAGTTTTGTTGTTTTCTAATAACTTCCGTTTCTCCTCCTCTCCATTTACTAACACAGACTCACTCAGTTCCACAATGAATCTTTCTTTTTGGAGAGTAATTTCACATTTTGATTCATAATAGCCTGAGGCTACAGTCACCTTTTTTACCTTGAAGCCTCAAGTCACATACAAATGAACACATTTATTCAAGGCTAAGAAGAAACCAAGTCATGGGACATGAATGATTACTGATCAGTGAAATTGTACTCTTTCCTAAATAAACCTAAGTAGATTGAAGCATTTGAAAAATAATTTTTGGTTATTACTTTATGTATTTGAGGATTAACCTTAGGGTAGTAAACAGGTTTTATTTTAAGAGCTAGACTCTGATTAATTGGCAGTGCTGCTCAGAAGGTGACAAAAATGTTTGAGTGGCATCAGGCTCCAGACTGAATTACTTAGCGATGACCATCATTTCTGAGAAGCAGTGTTCATTCTTTAATGTTAATTTTAAAATTCAAATACTGAAATTAATTTATGGATATTTAAAATCCTTCTAAGGTAACTGTTAACTCAAAAGTTTCTGCTTACAAGTTTTCACTTAATTGGGGCTTAAAAATTCAGAGACAAATTAAAAACCTATTCATATTTAATTGCTGATTAGATTTTCAGATGTGCCCTAAAAAGGCAACTAAAGAACTATAAAACCAATTAGCTTGGCAGCATCAATTCACTCAGCAAAGATTTGTGGATGATCTAATATGTACTAGGCACTGCTCTTGCCAACTGGGAACGTAGAGATGAACAAGACACACGAGGTCCCTATTCTCATGGAGCCTATGTTCAAGAAGCAGAAGACAGAAAATGAAAAAATACATAATCACAAATTCACCCCACTC